ATAATCCTACTATTAATACTTTTGTTCGGGTATTTCTTACCTATTGCTGCATCCTGCTACATTTCTTCGCGCGCGGCGCCCCTCTCACCGCAACGCGACCATTTCGTTCCTAACGCACCACACCCTCAAACCCAGATCGTCTATAGGCAGGATCCCGAAGATGAGGAAACTGTCAAATTCTATCGCGAAATTTGATAGTTTCCTCATCCTCGGATTTCTGCCTATAGATGATCTGGAGCTTGAGGCTATCGAATAATATCCTCATCATAATAGTTCTAAAGAGGGTATGAATAATGACGGTGATGCAAAAAGGCGGTGGTAAAAATACACAACATAGTCAGACAACGGCGAACACAGACCCCAGGTCACGGAAAGCCGCTGACTCGATGCCTCCCCCTCCCCCCGCACCCCCTTCCCTCTCCCTCAAGGGTTATTGGATGACATAAGTGAAGCCTTCGTAACCCTAATATCCGGATGCCTTTCTCTCTTTTTCGGCTGTCCGTGAGGGATATCTGGGAAAACCTTATCGCTTCGATCCTCTACGACTCTACACGGGCGTGCGGTGTGCTTTTCTCGAGGAGAAGACTCGCTGACAAAGCCGGATAAGACTTCCTTCCAAATGTTCTCGCGGCTTACGTTACTTGAGAACAAGCAATGTATTATACTACGAATGGTCCCAGCATGGCAAAACCGTTACTGGTTTCGTTCAAAAGCACGGTTCGCGATGTTTCAATGGGCGGGTGTGTCAATGACGTGTCCGCCTCTCATTCGATGTTACGTCAGGCAGTCTGACGTGGCGTAGAATGAGAGGCGGACACATCATTGACGTGCCCGCCCATTGAATTAACGCGAACAGTGCCTCTAACTTCTGTACACCTTTCCAGCAACAACGTTGAGGAAATAAATCATTAAAAAAAGTGAGTAAACTAGGCTGGCCTGTGATGCCCTATCCACCTTTTTCCCTGATATTACTGCCTGAAATCACCACTTATTTCGACACCTCAAAGCATTCCTGACATACGAAAAGTTCACCGAAGTTGGAGAGGTGCATGGGCAGTAGGCGGTTTTTTCAATACGCAAAAAGCAAAGGATCCTTAAAAAATTTTAACAGTCAAGTCTAGAAAAATTTCAGTCTGCTAATGTGCTTCAAGGACTTTGAAGTAAGTCTTCTGTTCAATCAATTCTGTTCAAGCTGTGTTCTATATTGCTTACCTGAAGGTCGGGATTCGATTGTATCGTGGCAGTTACTGAAGCCAGTCCAGCTTTGCAGAAAGAACACGAAATTCCGTTGTTGCCACTATCGGCTAATACATATGCAAACAAGGCGAAAGAGATGAAAAAGCAAATTTTCATGGTCTGAAAAATCTCCATTTTGAAGTGTAGTTATGAGATATACAAACAGCTATGAATCCGCTACTTAACAGTATATTCGCGAAATGTGAAACGCACATGGATTTCGATCTGTGTCACAGAAACAGCTGAACACCTTGTTGGCCCTGTTCATCAAATTGGCTGAGAAGCACATCGAAATTCAATCCAAATCCAGTCCGATGCTTCTCGCAACCTTACTTGGGCTGCGCATGGCAGTGCTTATACACATAAATTTGTTGGCCTCCAATACAATTAAACTACCGAATTGATGAAAGGTTGTAGAGGTGCAGAAAACGCTACTTGTAAAGCAAAAATCTAAATAGGAAATGATCCCGTTGGTCACATAGTAGGTTGAAAGAATATGGCACGGGTTTGTTTGGCTGGCTGTGCTGTACAGTTCCTGTTATGCAGACTTCGAGAATGCTAACGATTTTTTTTCTGTGTTCTTCCACTGGAGGAAATCATGCGGAAGCTTCCTGGTTACGAACAGTACAGATGTCCGGAAATACATCTGATAATATAAGCCCTCTGAGCTAGTCACGCACTCAACACATGGCACTTGTAATTGAACATTGATGGGGTATATGAACATCAAGGAGGTGGAGAAGATTCTTCTAAAGCCGCTGATACCGGCCATAACTGCAAACTCATACCGATCTGAGCCCTATGCTGTGTAACTATTCAAATGTTAAGTAGTGGGGTATCTTTGACGCTAAAAGGCATTTGGTGTCGAAGACATCACTCCTCTTTTTTGAGAGAAAATAAAAATGAAACAAATAGACTTCCGATGAAGGAATGTCTTACGGACGTGAACCTACAGAGAAGAATTCCTCCAAGGCCTAATTGTTCGGAGATCACGGAAAATTATTAGTGGCTTTTATCGCTACAAATCCTCCCCAATGGCGTTCAGTTGTCGAGCCTTCTGAGGACCATATGTTAAGATGAATGTAACTTGTTACGATTAAAGAAGGTATCTTCTGAGGATGGAACCAACAGATGAACAATTCGCTATTTCGTGATTTTCATGGAGGTGAAGAGTTCAAAAAAATTTTATGAGGAGAAGAAGAAAAAAAAACCAAAGAGGCTGACTACCATTGGAAGTTCGGCTACGCATGCGATAGGGCCTGTACAGGTTGGTGATAAGGGTAGCCAGAATTGCCAATCGATCCCATGCAGGAAATGCTGAGCAACTGTCATTTCGTGAGTACACTCGAAAGTGTGGTTCAATGAGTGAAGTACCATAAATTCTCTCATTCACTGTAAGACTGCCCTCTGGTCTCCCTAATAATCGTGGAATATGATAACTAAGGAGGGCAGGGGTGGTGTAGTGGCAAGTGGCGCACTATATCACACGCACGGTCAGGGGTGCGAATCCCGGATCGATGCCCCTAGGCCAACCAAGCCTGCCATCCCCCCGGGGTCGGTGAATTGGTACCAGACTCGTCTGGGAGGATAAAAGCACTGACTTGTACATCGGCTGGCCACCGCAAGTCATTGTATAGGCCACATAAGCTCTCATTACGCCACCACGATTCTGAATGGAAGTCGAGTACACGGGCGCATCCCTCAGACGGGATTGATTTACGCCAAAAACTTTATTTACTATTAACTTTATGATAATTTAGGAGCTCAAAGCTATTCAAATCAGGCCATATAAGGTAAAGCGCTTTCTACCGACTCGGTCGTAGTATCGTTTCATGCTCATAATATTGTACGAAGGAGCCCTGGAAGAGTTCATGCTCATTTTCATTCGAAAGATTTTTCCTTCTGGAATTACAGTTCAGTGGAGAATAGTCTGAAATGGCAGGAAAACAATTGGCACCGAATTCTAGGCCCTAGATAATAGAGAGGCATTAAAGAACCGTTCCAAATATCGCTCAGACTCATGTTTGAGAAAACTGACGGCTGCTTCAGACAAGCGTGAGTAAATATTAAATTTCTGTGTCTTCTATCTAGAGGCCACTTAAACGTTTTAGCAGCAGCTCCAGGGCCCATAAAAGAAACTTTGTCGGCTTATAAACAGTAATACAGAGTTTAAGCAGCTCTTGAGCCCCTAGTAATACAGATGGTATTTGACGGAACGGCATGAACACGTTGAGCTAGCCCTCACTTCATCTAACTTAGCAAGGGGTTGGCAATTACTCTAAATGGTCAACGTTTCGGAGAATTCTCTCACTTCGGAGTTTATTGCTAGAAGAGCGGAATCGGTCCTTACTGACATTCCGACCAATCTGACCGAACATCTCAACACCCCGAAAACCCTTCCAAATCAGTTTGATTATCAAAGAGTCCTAGGCAAACAGAAGTACCTTATCCCATGATTTCCTGAATCAATAATGGTAATTTGAAGGCTCGTTTTTGATTGATTTACTCTAGTCGTTGGGCTTGACATTTGCAGTCTTCAAATATAATATGTAGGGCCTTCTCCTATTCATCCACAGGATCAAATCCAGCGCCCTGATGGAAAATGGATGCTCCTCACCTTCATCTTAATTCTCATAAGTCACCTGAAAGAATGAGAGTGAATTAGCTTGCTGCAGTGAACAGATACTTTCATTACTTTCAGAGTACTTGACCATTACTACCAGTTAGTGTAATGACTCTTTAAAAAAAGAAGGATTTCTCTTTCGTCTTCACCGTTTGGTGATGTAAGTAACTGTCTATATTTCGTGTCTATTGTCTGTCTATTACTGTCTGTATTTTGATATAGCTGTCATCTTGCGTCAATAATTGAATTTTTTACTCAGCATCCTGGAGAACCTCTACTCAGAACTTTGCTTAGTACATCTTCCACATGGCGTGAAATGAAATTAACACAGCTATGCAAGAATTTTGCGGGATTATTCCATCCATACATCCAGGCTGGGAGCTCTTTCGACCGCTGCTTGAGAATAGGCTTCTGTTGGCAACTACATATTTATGATTATGCCTCAACTAATTATTTGAGCAATAGGTTCTCGAAGTAGGTGGAAAAAATTTCGAGTCAGGATTCTAAAAATGTCTTGACTCAAAGAAACGAATGTTCACTCGAAACCACACAGCGGTCTCCGTAACTTGGGCATTTCAGTGATTTCACGTATTAATAGACAAGCATTTTCATAAAAAGCATCCCAATCCGTTCAATGCTGTACGCACGTGCAAATAGCCGATGCTGTACATCGGCCATTTGTACGTGTACTGGCACAATGACCGACAAATATCGTGGCATGCTGGCATGATTATGAAGGATAATCCATGTGAGAAGTGTTGTCAGAGCATTGCGTAAGGAGCAGATGTTGAGGGTCAGCAAAGGTAAGAGCCAATTTACGTACCTTTTCTCAGCACCCATATCA